TAAGGGCCCGTTGTGGTCTTGTCCCCTCCAAGGATTATGAGCCATGCTAGGACGGGCCTGGGGTCTTCTGGACAAGGGGGTGGGGTGTGGGTGCCCTGTGGCTGGGTCAGACTTCTGGCCAAAGGAATTATTCAAGTATGTCTTGGGTTCCGGGGTGGGAATGCCATATACTGGTATGAAATCACTTGGCACTTTTTGTGACACCATTATTAGCACTGTATATTTTTTTTTGTTGTTTTTTTAAATAACTGGAAGCACTTATTGATTATTTTGTTTATATTCAATTCAAGGATATTTAGGGTCAGGGAAGTAAGGTTTATTTCTCGTTTATATTTTCTGGAATTTAATACCGTTTGGAGAAGGGATAAATGGATTACCAAATGAACCATTCTTCTAGGCTCTGTAAGGTATGCTTTTTTGGCTAGGATATTTAAAATAATTTACAAGCTTTTAATACTATGCTTTATAGAAATGTATGACTTTTTTTTAATGATTTGCTATAGATGGTTTACACTCAACTTTGTAAACTATCCAATTTTAAGTTTCTTTCTGTTTAATCATTGTTGCTTATTGTCTATTATGTAGTAGACACAGTCCCTTCGAATCCCTGTTCAGTATTAGTGAAGTTGCCTAAGGTGCATATGTGTAAAGATGGAAATTAATACAATAGATTTTTGATTACTCTTTATTTGGCTACTCAGCCTTTTCTAGTCATAATCATACCTGTTTCTTCACTTTTGCCTTCTTGTAGTTTCATTTATCTTTGTGGGTAGGGAAGATTAAATATGAAACTCAGTGCCGTCATTTTGCTTCTGGTTAGCTTTGGTTTGAGGTGAATAAAACTTCTGACTAAAATTAGTTTTTTTAAATTAGGCCTATCATGCACCAAATAATTGAGTTGGCTAAAAAGAAAAGCTGTGTAAGTGCATTTTGAACAACTAGTAATTTTCTGTGAGCCCTACTGGATCTTCAAGTGTAGCCATCACTTGAAGAATAATGATATATAATAAACTTTTGATTTTCACCCATCTATAATTCGGAAGAAAAACATATGTGCTGTGGCATTGACACAAGAAAGATCTGGGCTTATTTTTATGTCAGTGTCTTAGTTTGGGTGAGAACTTGTCAGGGTGCTTTCCTCAAACCTAGAGCAACTCAACTGAGAAGACAGTTACTTCATGTTTATCTTCCCCCTTGTTTATTGTATTGAAATCTCTCTTTCATAATATCCAGTATCCACCACTTTTGTATAAATAGGATACTTATACATAAGGCCTGTGAACACCTATCCAAGTGAATGAATAGCAGTTAAAGTGTCATTAATAACTTGTCTTAATTTTAGTGTAATTTACATTAGGGAGACCTTCAAAGTATTAAAATCACCCTTCTCCTTTTTGCTGAAAAAGCAATTAAAATGATGGTAACTGCTAACATTTATTAAAATCGCATTAATTGTTGATGCAACTGGAGAGAAACTGCCGTATCTTCTAGCTAAGCTGTCCGACTTAACCAGCTGGGAAAGGACTGTTGTTTTAAGGTTGGTCGGGATGACTACAGCTAGAGTCTTGAATTCAATTTGTTTGCAGCAAAGAAACTTACAGAGTTTAAGCAGATGAGGAAGAGGATGTGCTAGCACTTTGAGGGCTTTATAATATGCTGCTTTTAAAAGAAAATAGTCTAGTTAAAACTCAGTGGTGCCTTTCTAGACATAGTGAGGGGTTGCTCTGAATAACCAATCAGGTGACCATTTGTCGCTTCAAGTTGTATGCAGAAATTTTTGTCAAATTCTGTAATAGTGATAGACATCTTTTTAGAAAGGTGATACATTAAAACTATTTTATGTAAGAACTGACAGAGGAAATTGCTTTTATAATGGCAAGCCAGCTTTAAGAAGGCACTATAGCAGATTTACTAAAGTCCAAAATTATATAGATATGTTAATAGGTATATGTACCACTAGATATGGACAATTGTATTTTTTTAAATAAACATTTTTAACAAAATGACTTCTTGAGTCAATTATTCATTTCCCTCCCTCACCTCCACTGAAGTAGTCTCCATGGGTTATATTTTCTTCCAGGCTGAATGTGGGTAGAAAGAGTTCACTTTTCCCAGTGGTTATCTTTAAAACCTTTAACTATTTGACGTGTATCTGTCTCTGGGATGGTAGTGAAAAGGGAGATTGTGAAATGATTATTGATATAAAAAGGAATTAAAAGAGAAGTGGCTAGAAAAGTTATTCACCATGTGACTTCTCTTTTTATTTTACTTTTACATTTCATTTACATTTTTTAAAAGTTTTTAAAAATTAATCAGATTCTTTTATTGTAGCCCTTGCAACTTTTGCTTATTTTTGCTCTAGGCAGTGTTTCTTCACATAGTTTTTGAGATAAGAAACTTTAGTTAGCAAATGAAACTGGGCCTTTTCAGAACTGGGTTTATCAAATATACATGGGGGAAGGGGAGTTCATAGGGTGTTACGTTTCATGTCTCCATGTGAATATGAGATAGAGTAACATTGTTTTGTGGGGGACAACAGTTTACTAACCCCCTGGTGCAATGTCACTTTAGATGCAGGTCAGTGAGCAAGGTTCAGCACAGCTGGGTGGTAGCTATAAGGAGCTGGATTCTCCTAAACCACAGTTCTCAAAATATATTACCTAAAACAGGTCCCCGGGAGGTCGCATACATTTGGGAGATGGGGCCATTATATCACCTCTTAGAGATTCGAAATGCATGTTAGAATATTAAAGGCTCTGGGAAGTCCTGTGGCAAAAAAAAAGCTGGTTTAATCCACCATTTTCTAACCAATCTGACTGTTGACACATCCTCTTTTGAGAGGCATAGTATCTATTTTGCAATCACTTTCTGTGTTTTGTAGATGCATGTAGTGACAAGCTAATTCCCTACTATTGGGTAATTTCCCAGGGCTGGCATTATCAGGCAGGAGATAATCATTAACAGTCATAGATTTCACATTGTCACTGCAAAGCCCTGCAGTTACTTGGACTAAGCCCTGTAACTGAAGGGAGTCTGTGAAGGTGATTTCACTTGGAATAACTGAGAGAGAGAGAGTGGGGCACCATGTGAAGTGAGGCAGGAAAGGTCATTTCTAACAGACGGGAAGCACCAATGTCAAGGAGGCTGGTGGAACATCTGAGTTGGTTTTATGATACCATGTGTTTTGAATACATAATCAGTGACGGTCCTCTCTAGTCCAGGGTCACTTTCCTTGTGGCCAAATGGGGTGCTTGACGTTCAGCCCTCATTGGACCTTGCGGCAGCGCTGATTACAACCCCCTCCTAGAGAGACTCTGCACATGCTTTCCAGGAAACCACATCCTCTCCTGAACTTCCTTCCTGCATCTCTGACTTCTTACCTCACTTGTCTGCTGGATCCTACATGTTTAAACTGTAGGTGTTGAAGAGACGAAGGGCTCAATTTTCCAGGCTCTCTCTGCCTTGACTCCCTGGGTGGTTTTCAGTTCCACGGCTTTAAAGACTCTGTGACCATAAAATTTCTACCGTCGGGCTTGACTTGCCTTTTAAGCTCTGGACTTTAGTAGATACCAGCCTTCTTGACATCCAAGATAGCTTCACAAAATGAACATGTTCAAAATAGCTCTTGAGTACATTGTCTTCCCGTGTTAATAGCCTTATCGTATTCCTGTCTACTAAAGTGTAATGCCTCAGGCTCCTCCTTGATCCCATCATTGTCTTACACCCCACACCCAATCCATCAGCAAAATCCATCAGCTTAACTTTCAAAATACAGCTTTAATCGAATCACTTTCACTATTTCCCCTTCTACCACATTGTTCAGGCCACCATCACCTCTTACAGTTTATTGCAGGCATACCTTACTGGTGTCTCCAGTTTCATTCCTGGCCCATAGTCTGCTCACAATAACCAGAGTATTACTTTCACACATGTAGATCAGATCACGTCCCTTGCCTGCTTACAACTCCCCCAGTAATCTCACATAACTAAAGAGAGGTCGGCATTCCTACCATGGCTTATATGTTCTGGCCCCGAGCTCCCACTGCGGCCTCTTTCCACGCTCCCCCTTCCCCACTGGCCTGCTTGCTACCCCCAGATGCTACAAGCACATTCAGCCTAAGGCCGTTGCACTTCTCTGCCCACTGCCTGCTGGGCTCTTTTAGGGGTACCAGGATGGCTTGCTCCTGCGGATCACTTAGGTTTCTGCACAAATGGTATCTCCTTAGAAAGGCCTTCCAGGGCACCTGTTGACATCCCTTTGCCTCACCCCTTTCCCTGCCTTATCTTTCTTTCCAGCTTCCCTCATCCTGTGGCCTGTTACCCCTGTGACCATCTGTGTCTCCAGCTGCAGGGTGATCTCTATGAGGTGGGNTTGACATCCCTTTGCCTCACCCCTTTCCCTGCCTTATCTTTCTTTCCAGCTTCCCTCATCCTGTGGCCTGTTACCCCTGTGACCATCTGTGTCTCCAGCTGCAGGGTGATCTCTATGAGGTGGGTGCCTCCATCTTATTCTCTGCTGTACCTCTGCACCTAGCTCAGTGCTTTGAACATAGCAGGTGTTCAGTAAGTCTTTTTGACGTGAATAAATGAGTTCTCTAAAAGGCCTCTGTGTCGCTGCATCTCCCTGTAGTGAGTCTGGTGTACAGAGGGTGAGATTCCCACACCCAAATAGCAAAGGGAAATCTGGAAACAAGGTGACCCCACAGCACTCTGAAATGTCAAAACTCTTAAAAGGAAATCAGGAAAATAGCTCTACTGGCTTGGTAGCTGATTTTGAAGTGTGGTGTAAAAGCCTATCTGCCTTCCCTTAAGCTGAGTCTATGTAAGAAGGGATAATGGCTCTCAGTCCTGTCTGAGAGAGTATTGTTCCTTCTCAGATAGCATCCCTGGGAACCTAGAGGCTGTGAGAGACCTGTCCTTGGGGAACATCTGTCCTTTGTTTCTGGGCTTATATGAAAGGACCAATGGATAACATGCTTATTAAATTTAAAATATTTTATTTTAGGAAAGGTACTCTTAGATTTGTTTCAACTTTGTTTTCTATATTCACAAGTGAATCATGATCACCTAGATACAGCCATTGGTTCTTCTAAGTCTGTATAAAAAAGGTGTTTTTTGGAAAAACCACAAGAAAGATACAGCTGCTTTCTCTTTGCCCAGATCAGTCACTCACTACTGTTAGATTGTGCATTTAAGTCTGGCTGCCATCTGATACTTTTAGGTATTTACAGATATAGTTAAAATTATACCCCTAGACCACCAGCTTTCAAAAGAATTTTGATCTGTTTGACTTACAATAAATATGTACCAAACACATATGAACAATTTCTAAGCTGCTAATTTGGTTTTAAAAATAGAAACTGCCAACATTTATTAAGCAACTTCTATGTCAGGCATATAATAACGCACTTAATTCTTTCATAATTCCTTTGAGGTAGGGTAAGGTTCTTCTAGAAACGGCTCTTAAAAGATAAAGCAAGGCTGGCGGAGCCTCAGTGGTCTGCCCAGGGCCCCACAGCTAGACGGTGAGGCCAGGGCCTAAACCGGGTCTCGCTCCAGCCAGATTCTCATCACCACACCATGTGGCTGGCAGGTGGAGCTGGCTTCTGTGATGATCCTTGCAGTTCTAGGGTGAACCTTTCCGTGCCAGGCACGTGAACCACACCACTAGGACAGGTTACTGGGAACCATGGTCCGCTTACTTTTTATACATGTGCATTCGTAGCTACACAGAGGAAGGGTGGGGAAACACATATGCACAGAGTCGCGGTAACAGCCATTTCACTCCTTGCAGAAGCCCGTACTCTTTACCCTTTCCGAGTCACTGAGGTTGCACTCTGCCTTTGTGTTCTGCAGGATTCGCTCTGGACAGGCACTGTTACTGCGTACTGTGTATTGATACTGTCAGCACAGCGTTCAGTATACTGCCCAGCCTGAATTGTTCAGGAGTCTGGCTTTTTGTTAAGGAATTTGACATGCTGTAGAGTTTTTTTTTCTCTATAGAAGATGTAAGGTTTCAATGACATATTTTTGAGAAGTTCTTAGTGCTGTTGCCACACCTTTTATAAGCTAGTCAATGTCAGTAAAGAAAAATGGGACATCCATTCTCCCAGGCAACTTCTGGACCAATTAGCATCTATTAGTGGTATGCTGGTAAATGTTTAACAACTGGCTTTCCAGAGGAAAAAAGAAAGCCATGATCTGAGGCTTTTGCCAATTTCTGTGGTGTAAATACTCCCATAATGGCTGATCTCAAGCCACCAACACGTTGTCACTGAAAGTGCATTTGGAAAGAGATGCACCGAGGCATATCTTTATATAGTATTTCCACCATACAGATAGAATAGACACCCATAACCTCAAGAACATAAATATAAAAAAGTTGAAAGTGATGAGTTTTGAGTAGCTCTTACCTTTGTTTTAATGTAATTGTAAATTGCTATAATTTTTAGTAATGGCTGCCTTTAACAGTGAGCTCTCAAAATGAAAATTTCATAATTGGCTTTTATAAGCTAGTATGAGCTAGCCCAGCATACCACTGAACTAGTGTCCCAAAGATAGCAAGGCTCAACATTTCCTTTAGACATTTCACATTGTAGATGAGCCACTGATAGCAGCAGGAATTTGAGGGACTTTGGACTATGAATACGTACAAAGCACATAAATCCTTTGAGCATGCCAGGGAAGAATTTGGGGTTTGATTAATTTAAACATTGCATATAGCGATGATCAAGTTTTACAATTTCAACCTATTTTGTCAAACTTCAACTAAGCGATCTTCAAACCCAGGCTGTGGCCCATGCAGGAGGCAGATGATGGGGTGAAGTGCAGGCTGTCTTCTTCCCGTCTGGGTATCCTGGGCAGCTCTTAAAAAGTCTGAACCAGCAAAGACGAAGGTAACTTGAATATCCAGGTGAACTTCTGTTGATTTGCCTGGGAGGACCCAGGTACCAGAACTCAGGTTTTCTTCTACCCAGCCAAGTATTTTGGAGAAGATCTGAACCAAGGCATCGAGAGATTGCTTCCATGGCTACACCCAGCTTTCTCAAAACTTTGGTCTTTCTAGCGCTCAAGAGGCTGGAGGTGTTTGCTTGCCTCCTCCACCCAGTTTTACCTCTGGTAGCACTCCGAGCTTTCCATTCCAAGTGGTTTGTCCTGGGGAGGAACTGCAACAGAGAAAACAGGCGGTCTGTGTCAGCAGCGCTGACGAGCTGCAGGAGTCACTCACGTCCAGCGCATCCCCAGGCTTTCTGCTTCTCTGCCATTCTACAGCTCGTTAGGGAGCCAGGTGGGAAGCCAGACCTCCTAGTCCCGGCAAACTTGGAGGAGGCAGTCTGCTGAGACTAGTGTCCCAGGCTTGGGAATATGGGCTTTGTTTTTCTCACATGGCTGGGGTGCTCATAACGTGCCCCTCATGACATTCAGCAGATCGTTTCCTGACTGCAAGGTCGAGAGGAAGGCTGTGTGCCGAGTGCTGGGCTAGACAGCAGTTAGCACCTAGAATCTCAGGCGAGGTGTAGTTGGTGCCAACTGGGGCCCCCACTGCTCTCTGGGCCTTCAAACTGTGTTTAAAGGGTGCCTCTGTCCACCTACTGAGGGAGGACTGGACGTCTGTTCCTTCAGGCTCTCTGTGATTATTTGCCATCTATGGAGAGGACAAGGGCTCTGCCGGGCCACCTCTTAAGAACTGACTGTGTGCACAGCCGACCCAGTTGCTGGGCCTCGGACACTCGTGGTGAAAAGGCAGGTGAGGGCTCAGGGTTATGGAAATAGCTTTGGGACTTCCCCTGCTTGGGGTCTCCAGGAACAAGACTATTCTTAGGAGGTGTCTCTGCCCTAAACGGGCTTTTCTTTGCCACTTGGCCTGAAGGACTTCTTTTTGAGAAAGAGATTTGGACTAGAGTCAAAACGACTAGTAAAGTGCAAAGAGATGGCCAATTAGGCTTCTGGGCTGAGTTCCAGCCAAGGAGGCAGGCTCTGCCTTTCCGTGCCCTGCCCACGCTGGAAAGTGACTCCTGGCCCGTGGTGCCTGGCATAGCGGGATGCAGGAAGCTAGGTTCACAGTCCATGCCCCTCTCCTGGTGGAGAAGCCCTGAGTCGGCCTGCCCCGCCCCCTCCCAGCCCCAGGAGTCCGGCACAGACAATCGCATGGCAAGGAAGGAAGAGGGGAAAAGGAAGCTGTAGAAAAATAAATATTTCCTTGCATTTTACTTGGAACAGAACAGCATTTGTGGTGTGCTAAGATCCACAGACTCTCCCCCATCCTCGCCCTGCTCTGTTTTCCTCTTGTGTAGGAACAGATTCTTTCCTTACCTGATGAGAGTCCAGGGTGCATCCTGTGGAAAAACAGGAGCAAGACGTAGAAGGTAAAAGCCAAGCAACCAAAGATCACGCCACAGACCAGGAAACTGTAGCTACCCCGAGCCTGGAATACCTGCCAAAGGGGAAAACACAGACGTACAGGCCGTCAGAACCCCACATGAGGACGTACTGGAGGAGGCGGCCTTCTCGGCCCTTGGCAGGTTTTCCAGTCAGGTGGAGGCCCATCCCACTAACAGAAACATAAGTAGGAGGGACGTCTTGGTCTTATTTCAAGGTTGTGTTTCTAGAGGAGGCAGAAATCCTGCTGTAAGCCAGGGTTGGACCTGGTGACCCCTGCAGTCCCTTTTAGCACTATGTCTGGAACCTTCTGGAACTCTCCATATCTTCCTTAGACTCCAGTCATAGAAGGTGTTTCTATACCTGTAAGGTCTGACCAGAACTTTACTGAAAATTTAAAACATACACCACAGTAGCATATGGAATGCCCGTGGACCCGCCACCCGGCTTGAGCCATCAGCACCGATCTCCTCTGGTCCCCTCCACTTCCCGGCACTAGATCACACTGCAGCCGATCCCAGGCCTCGCGTCACTCCGACGCAGTGGGTATCGTGAGATGTAGCTCTTCCCCTGACTGGCGGGGCAAAAGGGGAGGAAAGGAGCAGTGCTGAGAGGGGTCTGGAGCCTGAAAGCCCTAGGCTCAGGCATCCCTCTGGCAGTTATCCCAAGTGTGGCTGACCCAGGGGGCAAGTTGCTTAATTGGAGTTTCCTTTGTAAAAAGAGGATTAATGGTATCTATACCATAGTCTTCAGTGAAAGGCAGATGTATCCTTTTTCCCTTGTGAACAAATGCAAGGTGGGTATGTTTGAAGAGAGCTGGGAGAGTTGGCTCTCGATCAAGGCAGAAATGCTGGGCTGGGCCCTCTGCAGGGTGGCCAGAGGCGACAAGAGGTGGGGCAGGGGGTGGGAGCTGACAAGGGATGGAAAAAGGACTCTGCAGCTCAGAGCCGTCCCAGGGCCTGGGAGCTGAAGAGCATTCCCACCGGGCCCCTCTGGCCCTGCTCCCAGACATGACTGGTGTTTGCTTTGGACCGCACGCTGCCGCCTTCACATCTCCAATCCCGCATGTGGAAGCTTAGCTTTCGAGGCTGGCCTGGAAATGGAACCAGGTAACCCAGACAGAGTGGGGCCGTGTGGGAGCCTCAGGGGAGGGGCAGCTGGGGTTCAGAAGGTGGCTGACCACATCTCACCTGCGTGGAGGCACACTCCCTTCCCCTAGAGGGTCCCACATACCGAGCCAACCAGCATCTGGAGGACCATCTCGCCGATTCCTGCCCCTGTCACCAGCACTGTGGTCGCACAGCCTGAGCAAAAGAGAAGGATTTGGTTTAGAGGCAAGTCAGCTGGCATGATCCAGGCTGTTTCTGGGGAGCCTCTGGTGGTCTGCTCAGACTCCTTGGGCTTTGGCCCTTCTCTTTGCCTTGGGAATGCTCAGGTCCTGCTGTCACTGGGTTCGCACTGTTTGAAACCTTCACCTGCTCATGACTGTCTTCAGGGTAAATTCCAAGTCGTGTAGCTTGGCATTCAGGGCCCTCCCCAGTGTGAGCGCCTTTGCAAAGATTTCCTGATCTCCTCTGGCCAGCCCTCTGCTCCGGGCAGGCCACTGTCTTCATTGCCCTGGTGTGGCACAACCGCCACACTCTGGCCAACCTGCAAGCGTGGCGCAGACCTTCAGAGCCCGGGCTTCAGCGTCAGACTCGGGTTCCAAGCCCCGCTGCGTCACCGACTGGCCTGCCACCCGAGACAGCTTCTGTCCCGTCTCCAGGCCCTGGTTTCCTTCCGTAAGATGGCCATGACGACACCTTCCCAGGGTCACGTGGATGTGTCTGATGCAGTGCATGCCAACACCTGGCATAGTGCTGGCACAGAATAAACCCTCAGAACCAGGCCTGTTCTCTGCCTAGACCCTTCAGCGCTGCCTCCAGGATAAAGTCCAGCTGCTTTAACGTGGTTTGCAAGGGCCCTTCATGATCTGACCCTGTTGAGAGCTCGCCTCTCCTCTCAGGCCACCTGCTCACCATCCATCCCCCAGCCAGGAGACAGGACCCCCCGTTTCCCTAGCCCCACACTCACTCTCGTCAGGTTCTAACACACACGCTCACAACCTCGAACGTCCCCCCCTCCTCCTCTTTGGCAAACTCCCGTTCATCTCTGAAGCCGCTCAGAGTACCTCCGGTCATCTCCCTGCTCCTCTTTGCTCATTTGTTGCTCCTCCCTGGTTGGAGAGCCGTGTACCCCCTCTCCCACACCCCACTGTCTGTTCACCAGTTACTAGGCTGCAAGCCCACGAGAGGGCCAAGCCTTGAGTTTTACTCCGCAGGTGAACCACTGCTCATTATTGGCACAGAGGCCAATGTATGGTGGGCACTTAGTGTTTTTTGAATAGAACAGAGATCATCATTGTCCGCTCTGGGCTGCAAGTCCCTCTTGTGGTTGCGCTTACATTTCACCTGTCTCTGAGCCCCTGCCCTGCTCCCGCCTTCCCCTGCGTGCCCCCAGAATCTCTTTCCTGTTTTCTTCTGTCTTTTCCTGTTTTCCTGTTGACTCTCTGGAGCCAACACTGGTCTCTCCCTTCTGGAGTCCAGCAGCACACGCTGCCTGTTCCGCTCGCTTGTCCAGAAGCCTTTCTGCACCTCCTGGCATCAGGTGCTGTGCCAACCCCCCCGGGGTGCTCCCACAAAAAGCCAGTTAACATGTATATTGAGCACTTGTGAGTCTGTTAGGCTGCTAAGTCAAGAGCTTTACGTTTTTGCTAATGCATTAAACAATCCTAGAAGGTGGTAGGTGTTTGCATCCCCGTTTTGCAGATGAGAAAAACTGAGGCTCAGCAAGTTGAGAGGGGAAGGAAATTGGATCGCACAGGTCACAAAGCCAGGAAGTGTGGTGACAGGACTAACATTCAGGTCTGCTGACGACCTCGATGCCCACTTGCCTTGTCCCTTGCTGGGGCCCATGGAGTGTGCTGTCTAGGAGAAGACACAGCTACTGTAGGACAAAAGCCGTCAGGAGTTTAACATACTGAACTCTAACATTCGCTGATCATTTAAAACTGGGATATACTGTGTGACAGGTAATACCAATATTACTTCATTACCTCTTGCTTGAGTTTGGGGGTTTTCCTTAGGGTTCGAGGCACAGGTCTCCGGTCTCTCGCTCCTGTGGATAGCTGATCAGTTGTGGCTCTGATTGCTCCGACCCCCTCCCGCCATGGGCCAATTTCCCCCACTCCTCCTCTAAGGAAATCATTCATCTTTAATGCTGGTTTTCCAACACCGTAGAGCATCTCTGGTTACTTCTAAGGCCAACATTAAATGTTCAAAGTGTAATTATTTTAATTAACTCATTTTAAGAAGTCTTTGCTATATGCACTTGGGAGGCTACAGAAAGGGGAGGGAGATTAGTGGAGAGAATTAGAGGTTTCTGACATCAAAGAGGCTGTGTCACGACCCAAATCATGGGGAGTCATTGCTCTAATCCTCTGTGTTTGAACAACATCCACAAGAACAACAAAGCGGGAGGTACTATTACTGCTAAGTAATAAAACCCTTTTCCTGCGCCACTTCGCTCTTCTTTGAACTTGGAATTTCCATGTAACACACGTGTCACACAGATGCCGACCGTCAGTGGCAGACATCACTATGGGGAAATGGGAAAGAGCTGCTTACTGCCTCTCTGTGGACTGAAATCACACGATACGGGTGTAATGTTGAACAGGGGGAGCCACGTTGGGCAGAACAATCCTGATTTGTGGACCTGTGCCTCCCAGTCAGGAGGGGAGCATTCATTTCTGTGAGGACGTGGGGCAGTGATCTTTCAGCAGGAACCATGGAAAGACGGGGTGTGTGGGAGGAAGTGGCAGGCAGCCAGAAGGAGCCCCTCTTTGCTGTCATCCTCTGCACACTCACCTTTGTACTGCAGGATGTCCTCAGTGTAGGCCAGCATGCTGGGGAAGGTGCTACTGAGGAACAGGCCCAGACTGGCTGTCCCCACAAACAGGAAGATCACGTTGTAGGAGAAGACAAGGAGCACCAAGAACGTCACCAGCACGCCGACCTGTCGGAGCAGAGATGGAGGCGATCAGCAGCTGGGAAAAGCTGGGCAGCCACTGAGACGGGAAAAGCCAGGAGTCTGTCTCCCGACTTGTAAAGTTCCTGGCTGGCTGCAGGAGCAGTGCTGGGTCCAGTGCGCCATCCGGTGGGGTATGTGGGAACTGCACCTGCCTGAACTGTTTCCACCAAGGCAAAATTGTGAGGATCCAGGACAGCGCCAGGAGGCGAGCCCAGCCGGCCGCCGACGCACATGGTCAGCCACACCCACGTGAAAGGGCTAGGTGGGGGAACACTGCCTGTCCCCCAGGTCTGTCTGGAAGTACGGGAATTCCACCCAAGGCACCAGTTCTCTGCCCTGTCAGCCTGAGTGTGAGTCCTTCCCTTACGGAGATGATAGTCTTTTCTTTCCCTAAAAGCCTTGAATTCACAGAGGAAGCCATAGGGTAGCAGGAGAGGCAGGAGGGTGTCAGGGTCCCCACTTTCTGCGAAATCTAGGCAGGCCTCCCAGGGAAAGGGTCAGTGGCTGTGGGAGCCCAGCCAGCATGACCCCCCTCAGATGCCCATGGCAGATTCCAACCCATGTTCAGAGACCCCTGATGGGTTTAGGGCCAGAAATCTTTCTAGTTCGGTAAGGGTCCCTGTCACGTAGACATATTTTTGTTAAAAAAATCCTTTGGTTAAATTCTTTGAGGTGGTTTTACATCAATGTCGGATAATTTCTATGCAAAGTGCATCTGGGAAGAAACCCAGGGAGCACAGATTTGGAGGCAGAAGACCCAGGTGTTGGGACCAACTCTGTTTTATTTACCAGCTCTGGGGCTTTGAGGTAGTTGATCTCTGATTCTTAGCCGCCTAGTCTGCACAATGGGTTACAAAAGCTATGTTGAAGCGTGGTGGTGAAGTGATAGCAGTGAACGGGTCTGTAAGTGTGAAGCTCTAGACAAATACTAGTACAGAGCAGAGAGCTAGGTGTGTAGGAAATCACGTTTAATGCCCCCAACTGCCACCCCCCATTTAACAGAGGAGGAAGTGCAGATCCGAGGGGATTTGCTCTAATTGGAAAAACAAAGCCAGTGACTGCAGTCCGGGAGCCACTCACCCTTACCCTCCTTTACCAGCCCCTCAGTGGTGGTTGCAAGATTCGATGACCTGGAACCCTGTTCTGGCTTTTCTTTGTCTCATTCCCTGTTAGTCCAACTCCACAGTTTCAAGTGTCTCTGTGCAAGAACTCTTAAATCTATCCCTCCAGCCATGACCTGTGGCCAGAACCCCAGATGTACACATCACACTGCTCTTTGATAGGTCACTGGATGACTTACAACTTGGCCAAAACAGACCTGGTCCTTTACGCCCCCTGAACCTCCTCTCCTGCACATCCGTTCACGTATCCCCATCTACTCAGCTGCTCAAGCCCTGTATCTAAAGTAGTCCTTGATTTCTTGTTCACTCCCCTCCTACAGTCAGGCCAACTACCAGTCCTGTTAATTCTACCCAAAAATGTTTTAGAGTCTTTGTACCTCTCCAGTCCATCCTAACCACCCTCCCCCAGTCCCCACCTCCAGTGCCTGGGCCGCAGCAGGGGCATCTCCCTGCCTTCCTGCTTTACTCCTGTCCCTCAACAAGCCATTCTTCCCCAAACTGGAGTGTGCTTTTACAGTGCAAAGTGATCATGTCCACTCCCCACTCACAGCCTTCTGAAGGACTCCTACCTCTCACTTCGAATAAAATCCTAAATCTGGCTTAGAAAACCCTACCGGGTCTAGCCCCTGTCTGCTTAGCCCCTGTCTGCTTCCCCAGCCTGCTCTCTCTCTGCTCTGCATCCCCACCCTGCCTGCCATTCTCTTGCTAAGTTTGTTCCCCCTCGGGGCCTTACACCTGGCAGTGCCAGTACACCTGGCACTCTCCCCTCTGCTCTTCACGGGCTGGTGCCTCCCAGATTGTCAGCTCTCAGTTTATAAGCCTGGGCCAGAACCAGTACTATGAAGGTGCTCCCACCCTCTCCCGCCACCTGGTCACCCCACTGACAAACCACACATACTTGCGGGCAAGCCTTGAAGAGTCGCCCTGATCATGTCTAGAGGTGGGAAGTTCGGAAAACACCCGGCTCTTCAATTCCAGCCCGGGCCACAGACTGAGTGTGCCTGGGGCATATTAGTAACTCTGCCCACCAACACCCCTCCCATCGGTGGGGGCCCCTGCTGGCTGGTGGCCCCATCTGGCCCTCAGCCTGCTTCCCACCTGCCTACCAACTCCTGCTCCTCCCCTTCCATGCCAGGGCACACTCTCCCTTTCCCCTGCCCGTCCTCCGCCCCTGTGATGGCAGAGGCCCCGCTTCTAAGGCTTGGCACCCCCACAGGACCCTGCACAAAGGGCAGACTCATTAGCCGGTAAGTGGTTGTTGAGTCCCAGGAGAACACTGACAGCAGGCTGGCTGTTAGTTTACAAACGAGAGGAAGACTTGGAAGAAGTTGCAGGGAATCTGAGACTGTCACTTGGCAGCCGCAGCGTCAAAAACTTGCTAGGGCTGGTCAGCTCAAGTCCCAACGGGGTGCCCACCGAAACCACTTGGAAAGCTTCCAAGACAACCCAGATGCCCAGGCTTCCCTCCACCCCCTGAATCAGACTCTCTGGCCGGAATCTAATGTCCAGAAGCACCTCTATAGGCCTCATGTATTTGAGAGTCACTTGCTCTAGGAGAGTACTTTCCCAGACTTGCTTGATGACATGAAGCCCCTGACATGTTTGCTAAATACAGAGTACCGGGCCCTCCCTGGGCATTCTGATTCCTGAAGTCTCGGTTGGCCCGGGAATCTGACTTTCCTTTTTAAAGACCAGCACTCCAGGTGCCAGTTTTTTGTTTTTAGGTTTTCTGCAGAGCTTTATTGAGGTTGTATAAAATTGGAATTGGATTAAATTCTCCCTGAAATACCCCAGCACTGTGCTATGTTATCGCCAGTGCTTATTTTTAGTTTACTTTTTATTGAAGTATCGTTGATATACAATCTTACATGGGTTTCAAGTACCCAACCCAGTGGTTCAGCAGTTACCCACATCATTAAATCCTCACCCTCATCAGTGCGGTCACTATCTGTCACCATAGGGGATGTCATGGAATCAGATACAGTTCTGTCACCAGCGCCTGTGTCACATGGATGCTGCGGACTTCCTTCTCTCACACCCAGGTCCCACCCCACTCTCCTCCCTGGTCAGCCGGCCTCAGGTCCTCCGGGGGCTGCCTGCCAGCAGAGGGGGACCCCACCCTCTCTGGGAAGGCTCTCTGCTTTGCTGCACCCCATGACCTGGATGCATGGGACAGGGCCTCCTCCTCACTGAGCTGGGCCTTTGCTGGGCTCTTCAGCCCCTTCCCTCCCCCAGGGCCTTCCTCCCTCAGTTACTCTCTGACAGTGGTATCTTCGCAGGAACCCTCCCCTCACAGGCTTCCCCCCTTTCTCCTCTGCCTCCAGACGGGCTCACGCCACCCTGCCTCCTGTCAAACAAAACTCCCTTCAGCTCAGAGCTATTTGCAATATGCCTCCACTTCCCATCTCCCTCTCTCCTTCATCCGCTTGAGTTTGGCTTCTACCCTTCTTCTCATCTGCACTGAAAGGAAATGTCTTTCTTGAAGGTCATCAACCAGCACAAAGCCAACCCAAGGGCCTTCATTGGGGCTCATGATCTTTGATCTCTGGAATTTCAACATTATTTCCTGACCCTTGTTCTGCTAGAAACTCAACCCACTTGCTGAGGGTGGGCTGGGCTGACAAGCAGTGAGTTCCCAGTCACTGGACAGGCCCTTTGGAAGAGAGACATGCAGGAGATCGGAGCCCCGGCAGGAGGCTGGGCTAGACAGGAATCTGTGATCCGGACCCCTGTGTCACAGATGGCAATGTGGACACACATCGGGGCCAAAGCCTTAACCAGTCGCTCAGGCCCAGACCGTCTGCCTCCCAGAGCCATTCTCATATGCCAGTCTGGCTACCTAAGGATCTCCTGAGAGAGTTTCAGAATGCAAGTTCCCAGGCTCCAACCTCCAGACGGTGATTCTGAAGGCAGAAGGGCCCTGGCCTCCACTGGCCACAGGGTTGGGCCCATTTGGGCACCCAGGTGACACTGGAAGCCCAGAGCCAGCACCTGCCTCCCTGTTCTCTTGGCAGGTTGTCAGCGAGGACCGGGTCCATACCCAGCAGCAATCACCTCCTACAGCTCCTTTTCTTCTTAAGGGGACAAAATCAAAGGCGCAAGAGTGACTTTTCTAAAACGGCCTCCACCTCCTGGATTTCCGTCCCTTCCTTGGCAGCATCTCTCCCCACTCTCCTACGTTTCCACCCTGGTGGCTGAGTCCAATCCTGAGCAAATGTCCTGCGGGCAGAGGTAAGACCAGGAGTCAATAGCCTCCTGGCTGCCAAGAAGGAAAAGGGGCCACTTACCACATTGATGAAAACCATGGTGGCTGGCTTCATTTTTGAGGAGATGGGGATGGAAATGAGCCGACCCAGGGTGATGAAGCCCCAGAAGAGGCTGGGGAGGTACCCGGCCACCTTGTGCCCCACAGACAACGGTTTCTCCACCGCGTAGCTGTACACAAAGGCCGAGTAAGCCCCCTGTGGAGAGACAGGCCCCACTGAGCGCACCCGCAGGCCAGCCAGACCACCCTCATCGCAGAAGTTCAGGCCGGGGTCAGTGTGCTGAGGGCCGAGGGAGGACAGGAGGCTCAACAGAGGGTGGGCGTGGCGCCAAGATCATAACAGCACGCAGGGCCAAGTTGAGGCTAGAACCTGGGAGCCTGGCAGCTGACATACTGCCCTCGCAGAGGCCTAGGTGTTCTAGGGAGGTGAATGTAGGGGTCCACAGGGAGTCCTGAGGGGTCTGGGCACATAGGCCTGCTTCCTACTCAACCAGAGCAGAGCTCCACCACATGCCTTATCTATGAGGATTCCACAGAAGGTTTTTTGTTGAAGGAAGGGTGCTGCAGCTAAAAAAAAATAAAAGGTTTGCATAAGCATCTCATTTTACAGGCAAGGGGGCAGAGAAAAGTGACCAGCCCAAGGCTGCACTGAGAGTTGGAAGCAAAGACTTGCCACCAGTCACTGAAGTTTTTTATGGCCTTCTCTTTGGAGAGTCGCTCATATGGCAATCAGTTAATTCAAAACTGATTCTGTTGATCAGTAATTCAAAACTGTCCTACTCTAATCCTAAGAGATTTCTGGCAGAAGGCACTAAATAGTATAACAGAGGTCAGGACTGGGATGAACAGCTGGGCCCAAACCCTGCCTGCACTTGTTTACAATCTGGCTTGAGAAGCCCAGGTCTGGAACGCATTCCAGGAAGCAGCGTGTCCTCCAGGGGGTATGGCATGCCCTCTACTTGGGGAAACAAGGCTCTGCCCCTTTAAAAAGTGTGGGAGGCCTGTACTCAGTGACAAATGAGATAGGCCCCTATCCACAGACTTAACAAAAATAAAAGCAATTGGCACCATGGTACCAAGGGGCTGTGGACAATTTTGGAAACAGTCTCCCCAAGGACTTTCATTCGGTTTAAATTTTTGAATCGGTACAGAGGTGAGTCTCTGGGAAGCCTTGATGCCCCCCTCTCGCCCTTGCCATTCCCCAGATTTGAGTCTCAGGGGACGACCCCCTAGTAAGCGGCACCCTCCAAGGACGGCTTACCGTCATGCCATCGGTCATGAACAGGACCAGGGCAGCTGTGATGTGGATGGCAAAGAAGGAGTATGGGGCTCCTTTGAAGTTCTTCCTCTGACAGCAGCTGAACAGGTCCTCGTGTCCTGGATGAGACGCAAGAACACGGCTGGGCCTCAGCCTCTGCCCCCCACTCTGCCTGCCCAGGAGTTGTGGCTGGCAGTCACAAGAGCCCTGGTAGAACAGGGAACCACTTTCTGCCTCCCACTTTCTCTAGCTTCCAACCATCTGTTAGGGGAAGCCCCTGTCCATGTCAGTCCTGGTGGAAGTAAGGCTCAGAGAGGGCAAATAACTTGCCCAAGGTCACACTGGTGGCATTAGGCAGAGTGGAGGTTGGAGCCGGAAGTCTGCCTTCCCCATGCTCTTGGCCGGGTTGATCCATCTCTGGCCTCAGGAGACATCACTGCTAAAGTTTTTTCCAACTATTCTCACCTGTGCTGTATGTTCACCCTCTCAGCAGGGGGAGGGGTTACCAGGGAAGCCTGCAGTGGGGCTGTGAGCATGAGAGTTCATCAGCGCCCCCACCTGGGTGTGGCTGAAACTTTGGGGGCAGTGAGGAGGCATCTTCCTTCTCAGGAGGCTGGGTCTCCAGGGCGAGCTCATCCGCAGACAGGAGCAGGGGACTCCTTTGAGAGCAGCAGGTCAGCAGCCTCTCCTTGGACAGCAGAAACAGCACAGCCAAGGGCACTGGGAGCTGGGGGGCAGGCAGAGGGTCAGCAAAGCCCTGCCCCCCTGCAGGCTTCCCCGTCCCGTGCCTGGGCCATTGCACACCCTCCACACGGTCGTACAGCACATGCCTGCACAGTCCTGGGAGAAAACAGCTCTTTCCCTAGGTGTCCACCCAAGAGCCGTCCCCAGCTAATGCAGCCAGGGCAGGCTTAGGGTAATCACCACCCAACCTTAACCACATCTGTTTCCCTGACAAGACATACTCATCACACGCAGAGCTTGGACTCATGTCAGGCCTCTCGGGGCCCAGGAGAGGTGCCAGAGGCAAACTTGTTTCTCACATCTGCACCCTGAACGGTGCTGGGGCATAACCTCACACTCCCCTGTGCTCGTAGGTCACACGAGGCTTTACGAAGAAGTTTTGATTTCGGTTAGCACCAGTCTAAAACAGTATAGTAGTGTGGGGTGGGGAGGATTATTATCCCCGTTTTCTAGATGGTGTAACTGAGACTCAAAATTATCACTTAGCTACAACCTGTTACAACTGGGAGAGACCTGGGAAGTCAGCTAGAGACCCAGAAAGCACTAGTAAGAGGCCACACAGCTGACTGGGGGCAGAGCTAGACTGCAGTCTGGCTTTGGGATTTTGTCCGGTGCCATCTCCAGCTCAGGGCTGTATGGGTGATGTTATGCCCTAGGAGGGTGCCGAGGCTGTCCTAAACTGGAAAACAGACATGGTCTCCTTTTGATTGCAAAGTGCATGCTACGTGCAGTGTGTGCACACACACACATGCTCAGTGTTACGTTCCCTGCTATTTATACGAAGCCACTGAGGTTTTATGAACTCCCCAGTGCCATGAGAAATGTCTCCGGTTTCTGAGGTTGCCTGGAGAAGCCTCCACCGCCTCCCTCAGGTGCTCTGCCTGCATCTAACCACCCTCACCGCCAGGAAGCCCTTCATCACGTCAACCTCTGTCCTTCCTGCTGTAACTTCATCCTAGTGCCTCTAGCTTAGGAAAGAGAGGAAGCCCAGGGAGGCGTGAAAGTTTCCCAGAGGCCGGTGGGCTCCTCTGGGCGTGGGCTGCCAGCCCCTGCCTGGTGCTGTCCTGTGGGAGCCTCCACTCTGCGTGGAGGCATGGTGGCTCTCAGGGACATTCTCCCAAGTCACCAGCACATACCCTGTGCTGACACCTTCCTGCGGGCACCTTGGGAGCCTCTGTCCACACTCAAAAATAAGTCAGTCTCAGCGCAGCGTGAGAGCCACAAATGGGGCTGAGTGGGAGGAAACAGCCCCTGCCCTCAGGAGTCCTGGGTCTGCTGGGGAAACAGGAAACCCACACACAGGCCTGTGGTGGCAGAATGCCCGGGCGAAGGCCGAGGGGAAACAGCTGTGAAGGAGGTGCGGTCACTCAGGTGGGGCTTCCCAGGGAGGTGGGCAGTGGGAAGGACTTCACGGGGGACTGGCTGGCACCGGCAGCAGGATCGCACCCCAGCTTCGTGAGAAGCCCATTCAGGGAAAGCTGGCCCCACCTTCAAAGTCCAGGAGCACCAGGTGGCCTGTGCTGTGCCTGCACACACCCACGTGCAGGCACAGCCCCGTCTCTCCGGTGGTGGACTGTTTATCGTCAGACACAAACCAATGGAAAAACTCCGGACATCCCGAAGCAAACAAAGTGCCTCCAGTCTGCACCTCATGGAGCAAGAGAAACAGACCTCGGGCCCAAGCGGGACCTTCCGGCTTCCTGGTCCCGGAGTCTCGGCCTTGAGATTGTACTGAGTGCGCTCCTTCCCTATGCGGGTCCCACTGGCGGGGCACAGGCCCAAAGCTGCATTGTTTCCAAAACAATGATGGGCACGGGCAGAAGGAGGAGGAGCGGAGGAAGAGGCTGTGTTTCTGAGACCCCCTGGTGAGGATTCTGGTACAGGACCGGAACGTTGCCAGGAAAGGAAAAATGAGCCGTGACTGTGGGGCAGCAGGTAGGAGGTTTGTGCTGGGCCCTGGGCTTGTCCGGCCCAGCCTCTTGCTAGCCCCTAACCAGGCCATGAGCCAGTGATGGCATGACACTCCCTGTCCTGGCGCTCGGGGAGAGCGGTCTCAAAGACCCCTCCGGTGCTCCACGCACGGCACCACTTGAGACGAGCAGCAGCCGGAGAGCCGCTACAGTGCCTGAACCCAGCCTGCCTGCCTCTGGAAGGCTAACAAGTCTTCCCAGAGCAAAGAGGGGCCCTGAGTCGGCGATGTGCCCTACAGGGCCTCCATCCCACAGCCAGGTGAATGGCCACCTGGAAGACTGCCCCGCCCCCAGCCCAGGCTGGGCCCGAGCCAGGTGGCATTCCTGAGCATCCTTCCCAAGCCAGAGAGCAGCTGACGGGGAGTCTCCCCACCTCTCCCTCTGGCCCCAGCCTGGGCTGACGTGGGGGAACCGTCTTGGGTTGCAGAGCGCCAGAGGAGGTTTGCAGCCAGAGGCCAAGTCAGTAGACTTGGTAGGTTGGGGGTCCGAAGAGGCCTTGGGCCTTCCCCACCACAGGGAGCTGGGCTCTCTTCTCCACTCCCACCACAGGCAGGGGCCCTCAGAGGTCATCGTGTCTATCCTCCAGCCTCTGCAGGAGCCAGCCTCACAGCAGGCACAGAAGGGTCCCCAGCACCCTAAGATGGCAGAGAAAAGCCCAGTGTGCCCCAGTCCACCTCATCTGGCCTTGGAGGAGAAGGGCTGGTTTCCCAGAGAGCCTGCGATGACTTGAAACTCCTTGTGCTCACCCTGCTCACGGGTTTGCCTCCCCAAGAGCCGTGGCCCCGGGGTGTCACATCTGAAGGACCTCAGCAGTGATCTCACGCAACCCACTCTGAACGTTTGCCTGCCCTCTCGCCGTCCTGAGGGCACCCCTCAGCCCCAGCCCATTTCTCAGAACAAGAATCTCTGCACTGAGCGCTGGCGTGGACTGTAGGTGACACTGTCCCCTAGTCCTGACACACCCTCTCCCCAGTGGCACTCACATTGATCAGGGCCATGATCCAGAAGGCGTAGGACACGTGGGTCCCCGTCCCATCCTGTGAGGGCAGCCCGGGGAGCGTCTGGTTGGACCAAGGCCGAGCCTCCGTGCGGTGCTGGCCCAGGATTCTGGAGGTATGAAATAGGTGGCCACCGGATGTGGCGTTGGCCGTGCTGTTTGCAGGCAGGCAGCTGGCCTCAGACAGGAAGGGGTCGGCGATGAGGGGGCTCAGCAGGGCACCAAAGCCCACAAAGAAATGGAGAACCTGGGAGGGAAGAGAAGTGGGATGGGTGGGAGGATGGCCCAGGCTGGAACGCCCCAGCCCCACCTGTGTCCCATCAGGGAGCCCCTGCTTGGCCCCAAAAGAAAGCAGAGGAAGTTGGGGGGGCTCTTCTCATCACTTTTTGGCCTGGGGTGACTTGAGGACACGGCCAAGACCCTCACTCACTCTCCATTCTTTCCCAAATCTTACCCCACCTGGGGGCTGTTCGCACGTTAGCGCCCAGCAGCTAACACCCCGAGGGAAGGGGCTTCATGAACGCAAGGGCAGACTGGGGTCCGGGACAACCGGAAGGAGCCGGAGGGGGAGGGCAATCCTTCCCATCACACCACTTTCCAGTTCACAAAGTACCGCTTCTCGTTAGCACTTGGGTTCCCGAGACCACCCTGCACGCAGGGCTCCCTACCCCATTTCAGAGATGAGAAGACCCAAGTCCAGGGATACTGGCTGGAAGCCCTCATGTTGGACTGACACCCTGGCGCTCTTTCTGGGTCACCACCCTGGCCGAGGGGAAAAGATACCCAGCCTTGGGGGAAGGGCCAGGGGCGAGGGGCAGGGCTGCCTGTGGGCTCACCTGCAGGAAGACGGCTGAGTCCTTCTGGTAGATCCTCACCAGCTGCATGTTGGCCACCGTGTCGATGCAGCCCATGGCGAGGCCCGCCAGCGCCATGACAGAGGCCAGCACCCTCACGTTGCGGCAGAGGGGGATGACGGCAAACACCACGGAGATGGCCAGGGAAGAGGTGAAAAGGGCCCATAAGGACTGGGCCAAGCTGCAGAGCAGAAGCTGAGGTCAGCAGAGGGGGCCCGTGGCCTTCGAATGAAGAGCCCCTCCGTGTCCACCACTCACTGGGGGGGCCTCAGGGAAGCCCAGACCCTCCCCCACCCTCTGGAAGGAGGGGGAAGGGAGCTGTGGAGGAGGCTGTCACCTATTAGCTAGGGGTTGTGGGCGAGATGGTTCACATGTCCAGTGTCCTCAGGTGACAATCCCTGCCTCACGGGGTGGCTGAGGACTCAGGAGGCTGCAACGTGGCACACAATGGGCACGCCACAAGTGTGACTGCTATTTTTACCTGTGAGCAATTGCATGCTGTTTACTTAAACTTTAAATTGTTTACTTATAAAAGGTTAGATGTAAAGATGTTTCCGTCCCTCTCCGGGATGGTGTAAGGGAAATCTGCCCCGAACATCTCAAGGGAACTGTGCCGTAGCTATGACACTGGAGGGGGGGGCCCGGGAGGGAACGTGACCCAGAAAACCCCTGCGCCCTCCCCAAGCAGGAAGGGCAAAACGGCCAGGCCCTTTGAAGGCACCCAGCCTGAGCCACCCGCACCAGAGCCCACAGCCGAGGCATTTGGGTAACCTGGTGACCCCAGTATGCGCAGAGATTTTGGGCTCTCTGCCTGGCAGGTGTCCAGAAGGGAGGCCCCCACAGAGAGGCGTCTGAGCGGCAACCTCCCCACAGGTGCCCACAGCAGGCAGGCTGAGGGCCTGCTCGCCCATGAGCGAGCCACGAATGGGGTGTCTAAGGCTCTACCAAGGTCTTTTAGGCACACCCTGCCTGTGACTCCCAGAGAAAGGAAGGAAGCCTTGCATTTTCTGGGACCAGTCTAAAGTGTAGGGAAGGAGATTGGGCAGCAAGAATGTTCTGAAAAGGAGAGGATGTGGAGCAACTTTCTCAGATTATGACAAGTTGGAGAGCCCCCAGTCAGCCTCCACCTGTGTGTTGGACCTGGAGAGGTGGGGGGCAATGTGGCAAGAAGACCTGAGTTCCCAGCCCATTAAGGAAAAGAGGGGGCCCCCAGGAGGCCTCTCAGGCAGCGCCTTTCTCCGGAGTTTTGCGCTGACAGCTTTGGCCCTCAGCTTCACATCTTGCCCCCTCTTTGATTAAATCCTTTATCAAAGGGCTCTGCTGATAAGTAGCAGTTGGTCGTTTTCTCTTGTCTTGTTTCCAGGCTGATCTGCGGGGGAGATTACTGATCATGACCCCTGCCTGTTCCCAACTCAGAGCTGTGTGTGAGGGGTAGGAGGACTCCCTTCCCCCCAGCCACTAGGAAGAAAATGGGGGGTGGGGACAACCTGCTCTGTGGGTCCCCAGAACCGACAGCCTGCAGCCTGGCTGCCAAGCCCCACCTTCCCCGCTTACAGGCAGGCTGCCTTTAAGGCTCCCTTTGCCTGTGCAAAGCAGACTAGACACCCTCCTTCCTGGCCTGACTCAGGGACAATGAGAGGATCCCTTTCTCCCTCAAACGTTCCGCATGCCCAGGACAGCACGACATTTCCACCGCCTCAGTCCCCACTTTGCCGTAAAGTCCAGACACCGCGAGTCAAGTACATATTCTCTTGAAGAATTAACACATTATCATGATTGTCCAGAAAAACCTGGATGAACATGGTTCCTGATCGGTCCTGTAGCAGAGTCCTGAGAGAAAGGGACTTGGGATCAATAAACTGAGATGGGAAGGAGCTGGGAGAAAAGAGTGGTGATAACAACTCACATTACAGTGTCCATGGTAACAACGATTTTGTTTACAGTGCCTCAGACATTCGGTGCATGCGACCACGCTGTGAGGCTGACGTCACAACGGGCCTGTTCGGCCCATGAGTAAACTGAGGCTGAGAAGGGCTAAGAGAGTGGCTGACAGAGCCTACACTCAAACCCATCCCTGCATCATGCTGCTTTTCCATGGAGGAGAGAGAGAGAAACTGTGTGTAAAAGGGCTGGTGCTGGGCCACAGACCCAGCAAGGCTGCAGATGGGGGCATGGCCAGTAGGGAACAGGAGGCCAGCTTCTGCAGAGCCTTGAATGGCGGGCATAGGAAGCAATGTCGAACTGCTGTAGTTGCTAGAACATGAGCCCCCAGTGGTCCCTCTGCTGATGTTGTGGGAGCTCCAGACGCTTCAGATTTTAGCTGCCTGCTCCACTGCAAGCTTTCCGAGGGTCTGCCCCAGCCTGTTCATTGTGGGCCCCCACCTGGCACTGAGCGTGGCCCTGAGAAGGTGGTCGATCCAGGGCTGCAGATATTGCTCATCAGATGGGAATAGTGCTGGAGAAAAGCTTGTCTTCATCTCCCACACAGGACGGCCTGGAGACAGGAGGCTGGTGTGGGAGTTGTTCAGGGGTAAGAGAGAGAGAGACAGAGAGGGAAAGAGAAAGAATAACATAGGGCCAGGCTGCTGATGGAAGAAAGGGTTAGGGAAGGGTCTGGCATGGCGGGCGGCCCTGTCCAGGCCTCTCTTCTCTCCTACCTTGTCATTCTAAAGAAGGACACTTGATGCCCACAGAGGGCATTTTTGTTCCCAGGCCCAGTGACAGGCAGGAAGAAGGGATACAGAGAGAATAGGTAGAAAGGAGAGGCTGGAGGGGGCTGGGAACCCCACCCCCGGCTGCATCTCTGCCAACCCTGGGTCATGATTTGAACTTGCAGCACACCAGCTGGGGCTGGGGAGGGCTAAGCCCATACTGGGCCTGGCGTCCCCGGGCACCAGGGGATGGAAATCCATTCCCAGTGCACAGGGATGCTGCCCCACAGGAAACTGGGATCGCAGGCCGCCGGCCACCCCAGTTGCTTTGGCAGGGCTGTGCCTGGGCATCCCAAAAATCAGCCTGAACCCATTTCTTTAGAATGTGGTAGTGTTGCCAAGAAAAAAGAAATGCCAGATACATCCCAGAGCCAGACTGAAATACACTAATTGGCTTGGTCACTTAATGGTTTGGTCAACGGCTCCTTCCAGGAATGTGGGTAATTGAAAACTATGTAATAATAATGTCAAAAAACAGTTTTGGCAGCACAGATGTAGTGGGATTTATAATCAGAAGACTGGTCTTAGGTCCACCTCTGCCGCTTCCCAGCCACGGCTCAGGGCAAGGTGCACACCCTCAGCCCCCGTGAGCCTCAGTTTCCGCCCCTCTAAAATGGGACAGTAAGTCCTGCCTCACGAGGCTGCGGTGCAGTCAGGGTGATGTCACAGTCGTCCTCCTTTGCTCACTCCCTGGGCTCTTCCCTGGCCACCAGCAGCCCTCCCCGATGCCTACCCCCTCCCTGCTGGCACTGCCGGCCCAGAGAAGTTTGCTCAGCAGAAAGGGTGCAGAGAGCAGTGCCAGCCCTGGATTTCCCCGAGGCCCTCCTCTGCTCCTGCGGCAGCCCCCGCTGGGAGGCTGGTCCAGGAACTGCCAGCGTGGCAGCAAGGACCTGGGGGTCCTTCCCCTCATTTGACAGATCAGGAACTGGGCTCCGGCAGGGGAAGAGAGCAGGATGGTGCCAAGCCTGGGTCCAGTTTCTTGACTCCCAATTCAGGCAAAAGCCAGTGAGTGTCCTTGGTCTTCCCTCCCCTGGTCCAGGGGTTAGAGGTTGATTCCAGCCAATTAGAGGGAGGGTCCCACTCCCCCAAGGCAGGAACCGCCTAACCAGTGTAGGGAACCCTTCCTCAGAAAGCCCAAGAAGCTAAGTTAGTCATTAATGGCTCCGCACGGACGATGCAAATGGGGGAGGCAGGCAGGCAGCCAGGTCCTGCCCGAGCCTTGCTGGCTGTGCTGGAGGTGCCTGCCCTGCCAGTTTGCTGTGTGCCCTTGAGCACACTGCTGACCCTGTCAGCTCAGGTGATCTGCCCTACCCAGAGGGCACGCGTGATCCCTTTCTCTGGCCTTGCTGTGGCGCCTGCCCTGGCCTCCCGGTTCTGTGACAAGAGAAGGGGCTGCTTGGCTCCGAAATGGCGGGGGGTGGGGGGAGGGTTTAAGCACTAAGGCGTCAGCCAGCCACTCCTGCCCTCCGCTCCTCAGGGGTGAGGAGATGCTGCTGAGGCCCAGTGCCAAGCCACCGTGGAGTGAGGGACCCCAGGGCGGGCACTGACAGCCTTCTCAGTTTTGCCTGGTCCACCGTGGGTGATGTCTTTCCTTGAAGGACCAGAGGACAGGAGCAGAGTGCAAAACCCAGCAAGAGTCAGAGGCATCCCCAGGCCTCCCCCCCACCAAAATGAATAGGCAGCCCCCAGGAGAGAAGCAGGGGCCTGGGCCAAGAAACCAGGAGACAGGGCACCCCTGGGAGCTAGGGCAGGCTGGAGATTGCACTCAAGCCAGGACTGGGCCAGGGGAAAGGGGCCCCTCTAACTGGGTCACCCCCACACGGACACCCCAGCTTGTTCAGAGCCCCATATTAAGGCTGGGGGGACTCAGTGGGAGGAGCAAAAAAGCCTGTCTTTGGGGAGGCCCCAGCTGAAGCTGGGACTGCCCTGTTGGACTGGGCTGGAGTGGGCCCTGTGTGCAATGGTCTCCCGGCTCGCAGGAAGCATTCCTCACACGCTGGTTGGGTTTACAGTTGTTTCCCCTCTGCGACACCAGTTCTTTGCATGCAGGGCTCTCTCCTGCCACTCAGCTGTCAGCTCAAATGTTACCTCCTTAGAGATGTCACCACCTTCCCTGACCACCTCGCTAAAGTAGCCTCAACTCTGTCGCGTGCCATCCTCATCCGTAGTTTACTCCCTTCATTTTACTAAAACAGTCCTTCTGAAGGAAGCTCCACTAGAGCAAGGGGCCTTGTCTGTCATCTTCACCCCTAAAACAGGGTCTGGCTCAAAAGATACTTGTTCAAGGAGTCAATTAAGGCGTGGAATGAGCTTAGAGATATTTTTTTAATTAAAAAGAATTAAGATCATGCAGCATCTTACTATGCTAATAGACCGTGACTGCAATGGGGTCGGGGCGAGGGACTTGATAATACGGGTGAATGTTGAAACCACCATGTTGTTCACGTGAAACCATAAGATTGTCTATCAACGATGCCTTAATTTAAAAAAATTAAGATCTAATTCACGTTCCATAAAATAAAGTATACAATTTGATGGTTTTTGGTGTACTTAGACTTGTGAACACAGGAAAGGCCAGTGTTCCTGGCAGGGAGACAGGGAGAAGGCTGGGGAAGCTCTGAAAACCCAGGGTGGTTAGACGGGTCCCCAGGAAACCAGGAGGAAAACCCTAACCTCTTGTCTAAACAGCCCTCCTCTTTCTTGTCTGACAGAACACATACCTAGACTCTTTGTCAACCAGGTGGCTTTGTGTTTTTCTCTTCTCTGAATGGT